CTTGCCAGGGAAGTGCTTATTCCACTGAGCCATCTCCCCAGCCCTAGATGGGCATTTTTGAAAAGATTGAAATAGCCCAGTTTATCCATGTTAGCAAATAACTGAGAGTAGAAACAAACAGAGCATATCTGAGGAATCCTGGGGGTGGATTTGGCCTGGCCCCCTTTCCTTTCCTCTTCACTGGCCACCAGAGTTTTTGAAGGGATCTAGTGGGAGCTGAGGAACCCCCTCCAGTGAAGGAATTTTTCAGCATATTTGCATAGTATCAGAAAATTATAACAAGTCTTATCTATAACTTGAACTGAGAAAACGGAAATATGTAAATTTTAGAAAAGAATGCTCATGGTGGCCTTGTAGCCTATGTGCTGCGAAAGAAACCTTTAATAAGGAAATCTGGCTTCACAGTGTTCCCATTGTCCTTGTGTCTGTGGTGCAATCTAAAAATTAATTATGCGGGTGAGAAGGATGGGTGCCGAAGCCCTGGAATGTTCCAGAAATGCCACCAGCATGCCAGAAAATTCCCACAAGGAAACCACACTCAACACTGTGTGCCAAGATATCACAAGACTGTGGTGGCTCTGCTGCTGTCCCCAGCCGCTGGGTGATCACGTTCTCTGGTGAAACCCAAGGAGTTACTGGTTTGAAAGGAAATCCACTTCCAGTATCAAAATGTCCACACTTTGATAAGAACAAAGGCAAATCAGAAATGTTTGGCAGAGCTGAGAGACCTTGGGAAAAGAGGATGGAATATATTCTTCCACAAACCACCAGAGGTATAAGAATTGTATGTCAGAGATGGGGTGAGCTCTTACACAAACTGAGTGTGTACATGCAGAAAACAATTTCACAGGGTTTGGTACTAGAATGTGTAGGCTCAGGAGGTAGCTGAGCTTCGAGAAGGTGCAGAGGAAAAGAAACACTACGTGGACACTATGGGGCACCTCAGTTTGTGAATAGTTTGGTTCAGGCAAATGGTGATTTTCAGACTCTACTTTGGTTGATGAACATGACTGTGGTCACCTTTCCTATACAAATACAAACATGCCATCTTTCCCAAAATGGTGGAGCAACTAAGTTCATGAACCAAGGTGCTGACGTAGTCCCATGCATGTACCCTGGCCTTTGGGTTTTAATGTTCCCATTGCACAGACTGTGCAGGATATGGTTAAGATTTAGAATTATATTAGTGGGGTTCCAGTGCATGTGACAGCTTTCCTGGAGCTGCCTCTCTCAATGAATGAAGCCTCTTGGACAGAAGCCATGCTCTGAGGGCCATACGGGCTTTAGGAGAGAGGATATTCCTAGGGACAAAGGCTGAGCATAACTGGTGACTCAGTTCTTTGTCTCCCAAAAACCGGTGCACTTGGGGACTAGGCTCAGGAGTTATCAATGACCTCATCTGTAGAACAAGGGGAGGAGTTTTCTGCGCATGTTCACCTCTCAATCCAAAGTACAGCTGCATTTCCTGAAGCATGGAGGTATTTGTCTCTCTGTGTCTGGCTTATTCTGCTTAGTGTAATGTCTTCCAGATATTTTATCTGTGGTTGGTTGAAATTGCAGATACCAAAGGCAGGGATATGGAGGCCCAATTGCATTCCACTTAGTTTGGTAAATTTATTTGCCTACGTAGCTCTTTTCAACATGTTAAGTACAACTAACGTCAACTACAAAGCTTTGTAAAATATAGCTAAAAAGTTGATTTTGGCCTGGCAAGATAGCTCAGCAGACTAAGCGCCTGCTTAGGCAAGTGCAGGGCCTGGAGTTTAATCCCCAGTACCACGTGCCGCGCCAGCCCTGCCCTCGGGCAATGAGCTCAGGTGTGGTGACACATACCTGTAATCCCAGTGCTGAGAACAGGAGGATCACTATGAGTCTGAGCTGCATAGTGAGACCCTGTGCCAAATACATAAATTTTTAAAGATTTTTTTTGTTTTTGGGGGTTTTTTTAGCACACAGTCTACAGGGTTCCACTGCATAGATTGGACTTGTTGTGATCTGCCCTGTGTTCAGCCTCCCAAGAGCTGGGGTTACAGGCAGGCACCACCGCAC